TCATTTAAATCCTAGGTGGGAGATATTTCCTTCACCTGCACAAGCTCAGTTCAGTACTCAGCACTTCCACAAAGAAAGCAGAATTCAGACAAAATAAGGAAGGCAAACTTCAGAGCTCAGAGATGTACAACTTAGGTCTTAAAGAGGCCTGTTTCCAGCTTAATAAAAAGAAAGAATTCTTTACAGTTTTTTATAAATACAAGTTGCTAATTCCTTCAAAGCTATGAAGCCAAATATCTAGTCAAGATTTAGACAGACTGAAGAATGATCTGCAAACATCACTTAGTCATTTAAAGGGCCATACTTCCCTGTGGCAAAAAAGCATTGTGGAAAAGAACTTCGTGCTCTGGTCAAATGTACCCCCACTGGAGCAGGATTTTCCTCCAATTGGATCATGAGTCTCATTCAGTACGGTAATTACAGAAACAATGTTTGGGCTGAAAACATGGGACACTGGGTTTCCAGTTTCAAATATGAGTCATAATAAAAATTATTTTTATTAGCATCCCCTAGAAACCCACAGCATATCTTTGCATTTTATTAGTTGTAGATCCATAAGCCTTTAAAACTCTCTTAGCATAGGGCATTATGTATGAGAGACTCAAAAGTGTGAACAGATGGGTAAAATGACTGCACAGAGTTTACAGGCAAGATTTGAAAGACTGATGAGTTTTAGTGGAAGTCTCATTTCAAATAATGGAATTAATGTTCAACACTTAAAAAGCCAAACATAAAATGACGGAAAAGTACGAGTAGTGTTCTGGGCATCCACCTGCCTTTTGCCCACTTTCCCAAGGAGAAAATATAAATAAAGAAAGTATGCTCTACAATCATTGTACCAGAACTCCATCAGGGTTTACTGTTGTGTAGAAAAGGAAAGCAGAGAGCACATTCACAGATTCCCACTTCACCTATTTTGACACATATTTTTGACATAACTCCAGTGTGGGGTTTGTTTTATTACTTCACCTTGTTCCAGAAAAAAATGAAAGCAAGTTAGAAAACCGCATAACGACTCTAAGTAAAATAAGCAAGAAAAAAGGGTGGGGTTAAAAAAAAGCCAGGGATGATGTCAAAACATGTGCACTGCAAAGACCTATATGTACTTAATATGGGTGGGGGACACATTTGGTTCTGGTTTTCTAATGGTCTACGCAAAAAGAGAACAATGTCACAAAATAAATGCAGCTGATCAGAAAAAAGATTACATTTTTTTGGACATAAAGAACAGAGGTTTTCCCCCAGGGCTTTTCTAAAGAGGGTGCTATATGATTTAATAAGCAATGTCGGCAGCACTCTTAACTATGCACGATAGTTTCGTGGCTGATTCTTACTGTGAACTTGAATGTAGGTAATGGCACTATACAAAAGATTACCTAACAAAATATTATGGAGTGGGTCAATGCTAAAGTCAAGAATTGTGAAGGGTTGGGATTTTACCGTATGTGCAAGCCAACCCGCACACTTCACGGATGCTGGCAGGAGACACAAGGATGCTGGGTCAAAGACAAAAGACAGTTATTTACACCCAGCAATAGTTGTAGCCTGAATATCAGCATCTGTGCTCATTCTAGGAGCCCCAGTTTCCACAGGACCACACCAAGAGGTACAGGTGATACCTAAAAACATGCCACAGGTTATATTACAAGAAAGGAAACCCAAGCTTAGGGAACTTGAATCTTTGATAATAGACAATGAGCATGTGTTCCCTTTGCTCCAGAGGGAGACTTTATCTTTATTACATGAATCAGTAAACAAACTTCTCTCTTCCAAGGCTGTTTGCTGTAGCAACATCATTGAAAAGGTAGTCTGGAGCACAGGGAATCAGTGCCTCTTCTCATAGGACATCCAGAAATGTGAGAGACTCTTGGAGAATTACCTCCCTTCCCCAACAATCGTACATTCCAAGTCATAGTCTAGCTTTCTCTGGCTTGATACCTTTAGACAATATGGAGGAATTGAGGGATTCTGCTTCATTTGACCCTTACTCATCTTAACATATAGCATTCTTATCAGATTCTAGTCACTGGGTACAGTGATAGACAAAAACAGGCACGGTCCCCTGCCTTCACAGAACAGAGGGAAAATACAAGTATAGTTTATGGGATTTTCCAGAAGTTCTTCCTAAATGTTCTTTCAACAAAAGTTTTGGGTAATAAACTTTATTTTTTTAGAGCATTTTTAGGTTCACAGCAAAATTGAGCAGAAGTTACTTAGATTTCCCAAACACCTACCCCTGGCTCCCGCACATGGAGAGATATACTACATACCCCTGGCCCTCCCATTACCAACATCCCCGCACCAGAGGTTTTACCATGTGTTATAAGTGATGAACCTCCAATGACACACTGTCCTCATCCAGAGTTCATATCTTACATTAGGGTTCATTCTTGGTGTTATACACTCTTATGGACTTTGAATAAATGTGTAAAACAACTTTTTTCAATCTGAGATTCTACATCTCACAAACAGAGCTTCACATTTCTGTATTTCCAGGTAAACACAGACACAGGTGCCTGCAGAGGCATTTGAACCAGGACTGAGGTTTGGCACTCTCTTGTGACACCTGGGAAATGTACGGGGTGTGTGTGTGTGTGTGTGTGTGAAAATTCTTCAACAATCATCATCTCCAATATACCCACAGGCAAAGGTAATTCTTCCTTAAAAAATGGCCTTAAATCCTCCAGTGGTTACATGACCACAGCCCTGATGTTTTCCTCTATGAGCAAGGCCCTTAACAGTTCTTCTGGACTATTTGTGTACCTCCTGTTGGGGCTGAGACTCTGACATGACAGAAAACTTTTTGTTTGTTGAGAAGGTAAAATGCCTTCTCTGACGTGGTCCGTTTCTTTAGGACGTGCCTCCTTCAGGATCTCAGGAGACCTCTATACTTTCAGGGTCTTCCTTGAATGTTCATTGTCCCACTAGCTATAGTAATGCAACCAACTTTTTCTGACAAAATACTAATCAGAGACTGACCTTTGTTTAATTAGCCCCCAGTCAGTTCCAATCTGCAAATAACAATTGCTAATGTAGACCTGATTTAGCCCACAGGCCAAGCAGACACTGATTCCTGAATTCCATTACCTAACCTTCCGGCGGGCTTCTCACACTGTTTTAAAGAACAGCCTCTTTTTTTTTCCCCCCCAATATTTCTGCTCTTTTTTACCCCCCTCAAAAAAAAGAAAAAAACCCTGTCATTTCCTGCTAACATAGTGGCCTCACTGGCTTAACTTGATGGCAATGGATATAGAAGTAGAATCAGCAGTGCCAGCTGGATGAATGTCTAAACTGGGGGTTTGAGAGAGCTGCCTATTCAAGTAAAAAATTAGAGACGAAAAAGACCTGTTAAATAACCCAATCCCCTCGTAGCCAGTGCCAGAGCATTCCTGTGCTGGAAGCTTAGCCGGGGCCAGCTCTAAATGACTTTAACAATGTGCCTTCTCACGCTTTATTTGGAAGACGGGGCCATCTCTTCAGTGTGTCTTTTTTCTTTTAGTAAGTTTTTTGACTAGAATTTCATTGGACCACCATTATTCCATTTCCCTTTTACTGTTTTGGTTCAGCTACAGCAACCGCATGAAATAAGCTATTTTCAAAGAGTTGATTTAAATGACAACATTTAAAGTGCTTTATTAACCCAGTCATTCCAGCAATGCCTGTATTTGGGGTCATGTGATGTAGAGCGAGAGAGGATACACATGGGCTTTGGAGGTGGATGTACCTGGGTTAGAATCATAGTTCTGCTTAATTGGGGGATTTATTATTGTCATTATTTTTGTTGTTTTCATTGACTATCATTTATGATATGCTTCCTGTGTACCAGGCACTATGGTAAGTACTGTCCAAAAGTCCTGCTAGCAAATTTGTGAAATTGGTACTGTCATCTCTGTTTTTGAATTTAAAGTGTAGTAATGAAGAGTGGAAGCTCTGGGCTTAAATTGTCTGATTAAAATGCCGGGTCTGTTGCTTACTAGCACCGTGACCTTGGGCTTTTCATTTAACCTCCCTATGGCCAGTTTCTGTGTAAAATGGGGGTGATGGCAATGCCTGTCTCCTAGGTTATTTTAAGGAATACATATGAATAGATGTGAATTGATCAGATCAGTGCCTGGCATGGAGCAAGCCCTTAAATGTAACCAGTGTTGATGAGATATAGACGGAGAAATTTGTCAAAGGCACATAGCATAGTTTATACCCAGCCAGTTCTACTCCAAAGCCCATCCAAACTATTAACCATTAGAATACACTGGCTTGGTCAGGACTCTTAACCTCTCTGAGGCTCAGTTTTTTCTCACTGGTGAAACAGAGATAACACAAGATCTCCTGTGTAGTCACTGTGAGGATTAAAATGCAATAAGGTAGGTAAAGACACTATTACAGAGCCTGTCCCAGAGTTGGGGATCAATTAGTGATAGTGATTTCTCTATATCTCCACATCTATAGAATATCCATATGTATTGGGTTGGCCAAAAAGTTTGTTCGGGTTTTCCTGTAACATCAGTCAGGAAAAACCCAAACGAACATTTTGGCCAACCCAATTATATATCTGTGTGTATATCTATGTATGCATGCATGTGTATTATATATAATGAATAGCTGTGTAGCCAATGACTTACTCTTAAAAGTTTCTCATGATATTGGAACTTCCAAATGGTTCAAAGTGAATTTTTATGAGCTTACTCCCCTTTGAAAGAAGAATTGGATTGGTTTACCAGATAATTAAAAACAGTTTCCTTCCGAATAAGGTTTCATTTTATATTTTTAATGTTCCAATGGTTTTAAAGATGTCTTTTCTGGATTTTTAAAAAGAGTTCATCACATGTTTCAAAATTGCCCAACTACTTTCTGTTTCATAAATATAGTTTGACCATAATTTCAAGTTTTATATCATAGAGGGAAGAGAAGAGACAGACAGTTACAACCTAGCAGGAAATGTGATGATATGTTTTTGCTGCTGTGCGTTTTTTTTTTTTGATGTGTGTGTGGGAAAGGGTGTGATGTCATTTTGTCTCCACCCCCTGTGAGTAAGCCCACAGCATAGCTAAGTGCAGCCGCCCTCCTCTGTCACCGAGAGACAGTCCACTTAAATGCAGCTCCAGGGTTGCGGGACTCCCACCAGCATCACTCCCCGTGTGAGGTGGCAAATGCAACATGCTCTCCAGCTTGGGGTGTCTACTTCTCTGTGGAAGTATTGCACTAGCCCTGGGAAATGCACAGAAATTGCCAAAAGGCAAGTAGCTCTGATGTTTTGTGTTTTCAAAATAATGTTTAAAAGATACTAGTTTTTAAATGTTGGTATTAAATGTGATCTGCTTTGCCAGATGGGGGGAATAGAGTTCTTCTCGGAGAGTCAGAATTCAAATGTGTGGAGAAGTAGCTTAAACTTTTGCTTCCCCACACCCCCCTCTATTTAATTATCAGTTGGATCTCTTTATTGCAAAAGATGAAAACCAACTTCTTATTAGATTTAGCAGATGTTCACAGTAGCTTGAATGGTATAGCTTCAACTACAGTATTTGTATATTGAATTGTATGGTATAGATGGGTATTATATAGTCTGCTGAAAAGACTTGTTTGGTGTTTTTATCCCCCTCCTCAGAGACTAAATCAGTGCTAGCTGAAGGTTTAAAAGAAGCTAATTTGAAACCTAGAATCTTTTGTGTAAACCTCACACATACCTGTTAGCTTGGAGGCTGAAGGATTCTAGGCAGGGCACACCGACAAAGAACGGTCATGTGCTGATATATAGACACTTCTTTCTGGTGGAATTTGGAAGAGGGTTTGATCTGCTGGACATGACACTCCTTTTCCTGGCTAAATTGCTCTCATTTTAGTGTTGGTATTTTGTTTACAAATGTCATCAGAAGAAAATGAAAATGTCTTAATTTAGATGCTAAAAACAATCTCTTGAGCCCATCAGCACCAAAACAAGAGCTTACCTCTCTCCTATCTTTGAACATAAATGTTGCAGGTAGTTTTTTGCTCCTTTGCAGAGGCACTTTTCCAAGCCAACTTCAGGTCTGTGAAGGCTTTTTATGGTTGCAGACTGCTGTAGTCAGCAGGATTAGGAAAAACAGCCTGGAATTTTCATACAGTTATGATGGAAAATATCAGAGGCAATGCAGAGCCATGAGCTTGTCAAAACCCTGCTGTGCATAGAGTCGGAAAGAAAGATTGTTCAGGTCAGAATATCCAAAGATCCTGCTAGGTCCTCCCTCTGGGTAGTTTGCTCCAAGATCATCTTGTCCCAAGTGAAAACCATTCTCTCTTCCGTGTATTAAGTGAAACTTGAATCCAGAGCGTGAAAGCTGAAGGGTTTGGCTAGTTGATATTTCACATGATGATATAAAAAGCAATAAAAAAGGCTGAGTAAACCTTTTCAACTCTACGATAACTCTGCAAAATAAAATAAAATAAAAATATACACTACGAGATCTTTCTCTTCTATCAAGTATTCTGTTTCTTGATCGTAGTAAAAGTGTTTAAATAAATCAGTCATGAGCCACAAGCATTCAGAATTAACTGTTCCTACTGCTAAAATATTTAACAAGGACCCACCATCTGAGAAAAGTCTGGAGTTTTTCTCAGGCTTAATACCTCCAAATGTTTTTATTTTACCTTGTATTTACTGTGTAGGGATGAGAGCCATAATTTTGTGACTGCAGACTTCTGCAAATTCCAAATGCTTTAATTATCATGTTGCAATCACTAGATGCAAATCTCTTGACACAATTTTCCTTTATTTGTTATGGTAAAAAAAAATTGTGAAAAACAGCCACAGAACTTTTGTCTTGTTCATTGTACTTTAATCTGAAGTATTTTCATCCAGGTTTCTTTTGTAATTTTAAAAAATATCCATAGGTTCAGTAATTTGAAAAAAAACTATCAAATTAATATAATTATAAAATAAATGGCAAGTCTCCTTGTCTCTAATGCTAAGTTTTTTCTTTATCATTGAAGCTACCAAGGGACTTTCTTTTAGCTGAAGTTGGCTTTTTTCAAACTGCATTCCAGGAATAGGTATACTGTCCTCAAAAGGGGTTTAGGGCAGGCATCTTCTCCCCATCAATTACTTGGGGAGCATTCATGCTTTTTTCTGTTCTGGGGTGGGGTCACAACAGACTTTAGAACTTGACAGGTTCTGAAAATTTCTCAGTAAAGAAAACTGTCCCACCTATTTAACCCATTGTTTCCCAAACTCATTTGACTAAGAGTCCTTTTTCTAGTGGAATAGCTATTATATCTTGCCAGGGGCTTATTTTTCACATTTGGGGAAATACGGAGATAAATAAGAAAAAAAAAGAGATAAAAGGTTTTTTCTTTTCTTTTTCCTTCCTACTTTAGAGTTAGTTAAATATCGTTTGTCATTTAAGAAGAGTATAGAATTTTGGAGCTAGGAAGGATGTTAGTGATCAACTAGGCTAGGGTTTCCCAGACTTTTGGATTTATGGACCCATAAAAATACATATATTTTGTTAATATCAGGGTCCCATTATAGAGAACATACTTGAATTATGCCATGTGAGAATGTTCAAAGGAGGGAAGCCCCCATTGCTCATAAAAGCTAACCATTTTAACAGATTTATAAAACAAATGAATTGATACAAATAAGTCCATTGTTCTATTTTTCTCATTTTACCACAGACTGATGAAAACTTCATCACAGGTCAATATTTGGGAACCATTGACCAGTGTAACCATTTATTTTACAAATGGAGGCACCCAAATACAGGGAGATTTAGTAACTTTCCCACATTGATGACAGAACCAGGACTGGATCCCAGGTTCCTGACTGGATATCTGTGTTCTGCTCAGTTCCAACCCAAATCTTAGGAGTTAAGTTCTGTAGTGTACATGTGAATGCTGTCCTTCCCTTGAATAAAAGGTTTCTTGTAAAGATTTTAAACATTATCCTAAACTTCACATTTTCCCTAGAACCTGTCTGCTGCGTGTGTGTGTGGGGGGGGGGAGGTGGCGTATAGTTGATGAATATAAATACAGCTGACTATTTATAGGGAAAAGAAATTACTTTTTAAATAAGAAATCACTTCTTACGTGTCTTATGCATACTTGCATACATAGCCACATACTTTGTTATAGAAAATAAGATACTGCAAGAGTCTTTGTTACTTTTTAAAAGCTTAAAGTCTGAGAGTATTATTAATGGACCTCTTCTCCTCCCTAACCCTTGATGACTATGTTCTTTGGCAAATCATTTACCTTTGCTAAGCCTCAGTTTTCTTATCTGTAAAATGAGAATAATGATAACCGTCTTACAGTATTTTAGGAGTAAATGAGGTAAGAGTTGCAAAACTTTTAGTAAAGGGTCTGACATATAACAGGTATTCAAAAAAATGTTTATTGGGTTGCAGAAAAGTATATCAATACCGAAAAAAATATGCACACCAAATAATATGTGATCGTGTGTCCAGACTATCTGACAAACCTCTGGGAGGGTAGCAAATGAGGTGGCATGTTCTTGGTGAAAGGTGGGGCAAGGGAGCTGTGTTGCTCTGCAGGACAATGAGAGAAGGACTCTACTGTTTTCCAGCCCGACCTTCCTCAACCGAATGTTTGACTGTCAAGTTTAAACACTGCTTTTCTCTATGGAGAGCTGCACCTTTGCCCTAGGATCAGCTTTTCTGTGGGGACTGATAAAGCCTCACAGATCCTCCAGGAGAGACCCTCTTGAACTTGTTTTTCAGGAGGAGAATTAGACCATAATACAGGCTCTGAAGAATTCTCACATTGTTTTATATCCTTGAAAGCCCCTATGCTCCAGATACCCCTAGGATTCTTTATTCTTGGAACCATAGAACTTTTTTTCCCCTGGCATACAGGCAGAAATAAAAACCAGAGAGCAATATGTATGTAGTATAATGGGACATGAGAGGCTTGACACACCTCTGCAGAAACTCCTGTGTTTGGAAAATTGCAGTCAGTTAGCAGGCAAAGGCTACTATTTCTAGGCAGCTCTATCAGTCCTCCTGATGTAGGTGTGAGGAAAACCAGAGAGGAGCATCTCCAATACAAGTGGGATCAGATGGCCCGAGGGAAGGAGGCTCTTGGCCGTGACTCTTGGCTAGTGCAGAGGGAAGAGGTTGCTGGCTTTTGGCCTCAGGTTCTTACCTGACAGGGTAGAAATCTCTGACTGCAAGGAGAAAAAAAATCGCAGGGCAGATGATGTTAATAACAGTAACTCCCATAGCTATCAATAACTCATCACTATTATTATAGATAACATTATTTGAGCTCATATTGTTTGTGGTAATGTAGGGCTAAATATTTTTAATGTGGAAAACTAACTAAATGCTCGAAGTTCCCCTATAAAGCAGGTATTTTGTTTTTTACATCTTTATTAGAGTATAATTGCTTTACAATGGTGTGTTAGTTTCTGCTCTATAACAAAGTGAATCAGTTATACATATACATATGTTCCCATATCTCTTCCCGCTTGCGTCTCCCTCCCTCCCACCCTCCCTATCCCACCCCTCCAGGCGGTCACAAAGCACCGAGCTGGTCTCCCTGTGCTATGCGGCTGCTTCCCACTAGCTATCTACCTTACATTTGGTAGTGTATATATGTCCATGCCTCTCTCTCGTAAAGCAGGTATTTTATTACTCTCCATTTACAGAGGATAAAATTGTACCTCAGAGTGTTTGCCCAAAGTCATCCAGCCAGCAAGTGGCAAAAGACCATACCTTTAATTTCTATGTAATATCAGTTCCTTGCTCTACATAAAGATATGTTAATTTGTTCAAGTAACAAACTGTATTCCATGTATATGCAGAGCACTGAGGCTGGGAAGACAAGGTTTTGTCTTCCTGACCAGTTGATGGAGAAGACAGGGTTGTAAAGGAATAATTACATTAGAGTGAGAACATCCTCTGATTTAGCTGAAGCACAAAGAACTTTGAGAACAATCAGGAAGGACCCAATCCAGACTAGAGGGGTCAAAAATTATGAGGGGATAAGGCACCCAAGTAGGAGCCTGGAAGACAAACATACATTGGGGCAAGGAGGAGAGTAGTGGAAGGGCCTTCCCGACAGGGGTAGCTGCATGGCCAGAGCCCAGGCCACTTCCAGGGGCCAGAGCTCAGCAGGTGTTAAAGTACCCAGAGGGAAAGACAAGACTGAGTCCACACTGGATGTGACTGTGTCTTCCTTGTCTCTATCTGTCTTGACTCCCCAAGATTGATTACAAAGCAGAAGTAGCAGATTGTCTTTGGA